CACCTTCCTCACCATATCACACCACTCATAGAGAACACTTTTCACACACAGCACCTTCCTCACCACATCATACCACTCATGGAGAACACACTTCACACACAGCACCTTCCTAACTACACAACAACGTTCATGGAGAACATACTTCACACACAGTACTTTCCTCACCACACCACAGGCTCATGGAAAAAACACTTCACATACAGCACCTTCCTCACCACACCACAGTGCTCATGGAGACCAAACTTCACACACAGCACCTTCCTCACCACATCACAGGCTCATGGAGAACACTCTTCACACACAGCACCTTTCTCACCACACCACAACGCTCATGGAGAACACTCTTCACACACAGCACCTTCCTCACCACACCACAGGCTCATGGAGAACACTCTTCACACACAGCACCTTCCTCACCACACCACAACACTCATGGAGAACACTCTTCACACACAGCACCTTCCTCACCATACCACAACACTCATGGAGAACACTCTTCACACAAAGCACCTTCCTCTTCATACCACAGGCTCATGGAGAACACTCTTCACACACAGCACCTTCCTCACCACACCACAACGCTGATGGAGAACAATCTTCACACATAGCACCTTCCTCACCATACCACAACACTCATGGAGAACACTCTTCACACATAGCACCTTCCTCACCACATCATAGGCTCATGGAGAACACTCTTCACACATAGCACCTTCCTCTTCACACCACATGCTCATGGAGAACACTCTTCACACACAGCACGTTCCTCACCATACCACAACACTCATGGAGAACACTCTTCACACATAGCACCTTCTTCACCACACCACAGGCTCATGGAGAACACTCTTCACACACAGCACCTTCCTAACTACACAACAACGTTCATGGAGAACATACTTCACACACAGCACTTTCCTTACCACACCACAAGTTCATGGAGAACACACTTCACACACAGCACCTTCCTCACCACACCACAACGCTCATGGAGAACACTCTTCACACATAGCACCTTCCTCACCACACCACAACACTCATGGAGAACACTATTCACACACAGCAC